TTAAGCATATTTATAAATTTTACCCAGAATCTATAAAATCCATTGAAATCTATAAAATCCATGAAAGTCTTTTAAAATCTATAAAATGAAAATCCATTCAAATCTTATGAAATCTATTAAATTCTATCAAATCTCACACAATCCATGAGAATTTATAAATATTAAGAAATCTATTAAACTCTGAAATGGGGACACCCCTTTTAATCTCTTTTTTAACTTCTATCTGTGCGTTGGAGCACTGGAAATTCTGCAATGGCTAAGAGTGTTTTGTGCTCAACACACTCATTCCTCGAGTGATAACCTAGCTAGAAAATGGCACCAAATATTTCATAATTCTTATATAAAATGCCTATTAGAGTTCGCATGATTACATGGTGGTACTAATGACGCGTAAATGGTGTAATTTACCTGATAGGTGAATATATACAGAAATTGTGCAAAAAGCGGGTTAATATTTTGACCTTTGATTTCTCTTTCCAACTGCTTTTATTCTTTCACGTTTCTTTTCATATTTGGATTGGTTTAAACTTAGTCAGTTACACAAGATTAGTTTGGCTACGTTACGTGCTACATTAAAATGATTTTTCTGGAGTAGCCTCATAATCTATTGTCCATCCTTACTTCTTAAACTTTCTACCTTTTTGTATACAGAGCCTAGTCATGAACCACCTGGTTGAAGCCATGGTCGACCTTCCCCTTCTTTAGGTTTAGGGGTGAAAGAAATATTTCACGCAAAATGCCTATTAGAGTTCGCATGATTCCATGGTGGTATCAGTAACGTGTAAATGGTGTAATTTGCCTGATAGGTGAATATATACAGAAATTGTGCAAAAAGGGGGTTAATATTTTGACCTTTGATTTCTCTTTCCAACTGCATTTTATTCTTTTCACCTTTTTCATATTTGGATTGGTTTAAACTTAGTCAGTCACACAAGATTAGTTTGGCTACGTTACGTGCTACATTAAAATGATTTTTCCGGAGTATCCTCATAATCTGTTGTCCATCTTAATTCTTAAACATTCTAACATTTTGTATACAGATTGTGACAATAGGTGATCTAAAACCAGAGCCTGTTCTTTGGCACGAGGACTCTGGGAGGAGACCCATGGAAAATGGAAGGTGTGTTGATTTAATTTTAAACTATTGGTAGATCAAAGACTTGATTCTGCACAGTTCTCCTAGATTATACGAAAGGATAGATCAATATAGGAATATTCTTTGCAGGCATAATCACAATACCAATGGAGCCATTTCTGGTCGGCATCTTGGAGAGGCTGCACATCGACTTGTTGCTAATAGTTTGCAGGTAAGGGCAGATGGGAACTGTCGTTCCAATCATATATATGCCCCGCATCCATCGCATGCCAGTGCTTATAGCCAGCGCTATCCTCCGTACCATCAAAATCCGTACTCTAGTGATGAACGGGTAATGATGCAAGGTACTTCAGGATATTATCCTGTGAATGCTGGAGATCATCACAGGTCTTCAGTTTCCACATCTTATAGACAACCGTATGCTTCTCCTCCCCTTAATAATGCTCAGAATAGATATAATTATCCTCGCAATGAGGGCAATGGAAGGTCTGGACCTCAGGGTCGGGATTATCATTCCCGAAATGGATACAACCGTCAGGGTAGGCAACAAAATGGTGGACGCGGTTACCCTTCACATCCTGCCCGGGATATGGGTCGAGCTCCGATACCTCCAGGTCCTTATGTTTATCAACAGGGTGGATACAGCGATTTAGGGGCCCACCAAACTTACATGGGTGGGAGTTATAACCATATGGGTGGGAGTTGGGTCCCGCCAGTTAACCCTAGTGTTGGCCGAGGATCCAGCCATCCTCGCCCATCGGGTAACCAATTCTCTGCTTTAGGTAGGGGAGGAAGTCGAAGACCACCGCCTTCAGATCATCGCAGATAGAGCTCGTATGTATTGCCTAACCTATGTGGCGGAAGTGTAATGGCAATGTTCTACTATGTAGTCTATAAGTTACTTGGGATTTTATGTCAAATGTTCATTAATTTTAACTTTTAGCTTCTGTTTTATTAGTTCAGTGTTGTATTAATGGCCAAGGCCAAATCTAGTTAGGCTGATGGGAAGAGTTTGGGCCGTCGGCTTTCTCATTCTTTTCATTATTTGTTTAGTATACTTCGCCTCATAAAGAATAGGCAGCCTCTGTTCCATCCCCCGCCCACTGACATGGAAAATCTTGCAGATGGCATTCGTTCGTTAAAAATACTTGCTTTTTCTGCAGAGTTGTGTTAAATTTTAGTTAATCTGGTCTCAGTTGCTTAGTTATTACATTGGTTTTGCTGCGTGTTAGCATTCAGGTACTTTCAAACTCTTTTCTCGAGTCTTGCCCTATATATTGGAAAAATATAAAAATAATAATTTGAATTAATGTTTTTCCAAAATTCCCATAAATGGCAGGTTAAAATCTGTTGGATTTAGAGGCTTGGACTGTAAAACCGAAAGAAAACCAGAAAATGGGTCACGATAAGATAATAAAATGCTTTATCCGAAAATGAAGTTCATTGCAATAACACACAGGCCAAATTTAATGTTAGCCTTTCCGAAGTTTTGTTTTCATGCATCGTAGGGTAAAACAACGTCTGAGAAGGAAGTGAATGACTTACGAGCACCACTGGCGCTGCAAGGCTGAGTATTTTCTCTTTTGCAATAAAAATATCTCTCTCCACACCCCACCGTAAAACTCGAAATATTCTTCTCAAAAAGAAAATAAATAAATAAATAACTTATTTTATTCAGAAACTATACATCAGTTCCGTCTGATCCACTATTGAATTGGACCATGGTGTGAGTGATTGGTAACTTTTATTTTATTTTATTATTATTTTTTTTGGGTCCATGCGAGTTAGGGCAAATTTTGAAAAAGTGTTAAGCCTAATACAATTGATTACGTTCGATTGGGCAGGGCACTAGGCCCAATACCTTCGAACACAATTTTTTTTTTCCCTTGCTTTTTCATTGATTTTCTAAAAAACAAAAAAAATAAATAAAACAAGGCCATTGTGGATTTTAAAATGTAATGAGCTTGGCTTCGACAATTCGTGCTCTAAGCCATCTTAGGACTGCATTGTTTAAGCTAATTTTACACCTTTATCATGAATGGTCGGTATCTATAGTGGTTAGTTGATTATA